GGGATGACTCGTGTGAGAGTGAATTCCAAGAGTTGGAGAAGAAGCTTACTTCAATTTTGATTTTGATAGTTTCGGAGAGAGGACAAAGGTACATAGTATATTGTGATGCCTCCAAGGATAAACTTGGTTGTATTTTGATATAGCCCAGGAGGATGGTAGCTTATGGTTCTCAACAGTTGAAGAGCTACAAGTAGAACTACCCTACGTATGACATGGAGTTGGCGACTTTCGTATTTACCTTGAAGGCATGGCGCTACTATTTGTATGGAGAGTAGTTTGATGTGTTTTCAGACCATAAGAATCTGAAATACAGGTTCACTTAGTGGGACCTCAATATGAGGTAGCATAGGTAGATGGAGTATTTGGAGGATTATGACTTTATTTTGTATTACTATCGCAGTAAGGCAAATTTGGTGGCTGATGCACTTAGTCAAAAGTCACGGGGATTCTTGGATAGTGTAGCTTCTCGAGAGTAGCAGATGTTCGAGACTGTGGGACAGTTCGGGTTGTACTATAAAGGTCAGGCTCAAGACACTTTGGGGAGTTTGGTGGCTACGTCTTCCCTACTAAGCAGAGTGATTGAGTCCCAGGGACAAGACATGGAGATATTGTCTATCAAGGATCGGGTACAATAGGATATAGGTGACGAGGGCTGGGCCATTCACTCATATGACAGTCTTTGGTTTAGGGGAAGGGTTGTGGTTCCCTAGTCTACGGATCTAAGAGAGGAGATCCTTAGGGAATTCGATTACTACCATTTTCCTATACATCCAAGTGGCATGAAGATGCACTATGATCTTCATCACCAGTACTATTAAAGTGGGATAAAAAGGCACGACGAGAATTTTGTTAGTCGATGTCTCACGTGTCAGCAGGTTAAGGCTAAGCACCAATGACTAGCAAGATTGCTCTAGCCTTTGGAGGTGACTGAGTGGAAGTAAAAGCATGTCACGATGAATTTTTTGTCCCACTTAAAACGGATATCATTGGGGTATGACACGGTGTGGGTGATAGTGGATCAGCTTATAAAATTGGTACACTTTTTGGCAGTGCGGAAGACCTTTACATTGGAGGAATACTACAGGCTGTACATACAAGACATAGTCCGGTTACATGAAGTACCCGTATCTATAGTATCGGACAAGGATCTCACGTTCAAGGTCAATTTTTGGGAGAGTTTCCAGTGGACTATGGAGACACAGTTGATGATGAACACATCTTTTCATCCCTAGACGGACGGTCAGTCAAAGAGGACCATGGGAGCTGGTGAAGACTCAGGTTGCATTGCGTGTGTGAGTCTCACCTTATAATATAACATGGCATTATGACATTCATTCTTGAAGTTTGTATGTTATTGGATGAATGCTTGTTTGATTGTTAAATTGCATGTGAGCATTTCACATGCATTTAGGTTAGGGAGTAGCATCTTTAAAAAATACTCTATTAAGCATGACTCATCCTTTATGGGGAGAACATTTCAGGTGCGGGACAAGCGTCAGTGGATGACTCTCACATGGGCCCTCATCGATGAAGAAAGCCGAGTTGTGGCTTTGAATTAGATTTTTGTAAAACAAGTGTCTAATTAGTTTTTGGACATGTAATCTTGTGTAAAGGATTGTAAAATGAACTCATATGAACTACATTTTGTTTAAAATTATATGTTATATGAATTTGGGTGGTTGTTATATGAGATTGGATGAGTTAGAATTGAAAAAAGGATTGAATTAGGGGCAAACTAGGCTCTTCTATTAGTAGTACATTGATTATCTGCCAGTAGAAAAATTCTAGAAAGCTTTTCTACCAGTAGAATGTTGATTATCTATTGGTAGAAAGATTCCAAAGAGCTCAACGTTGATTATCTACCGGTAAGGCCTCTTAAATTTTCACAAATCTAAAATAATTTTGTCAAACCTTCGGGTCTTGAGTCCTTTTGTTCAAAGGATGTAAATGGAGTAATATTAAGGATAGATTGATATATATTGGACCTTAGAATGGTCAAGTGATTGAAATGTACACAGGTTATGTGTTTGGGAGTACCCTGTACAAGGGAGAATCTGCCCAAACTATGTGTTGTTTATGATCCCGGTGAAAGAGATGTTATGTCATGGTGTCGGGTTATGCGACATTTACAGGTACTTTTGTGGGTTGATGGGTGATTAACGGGTTGACAAAAGACCCCTGATTTTAGGGGCGTCACACTTCCAACTTAATTGAGACAATGAGTCTCTCAAAATCGTCCCTAGTCTCCTAAACTTGCTTTCTCTTCTAAAAACTCGGGTTTGGTCAAGGAATGGGTGGAGGGGTAACTCTCTTTAGTTTGAAAGCGTGTAGATTAATTTTGATCTTGGGAGTAGAAGGAGTTTTGTGCACTCTAGCATTTGAGCCTTTAGAAGATGATGCATGGATATACTTAGACTCAGTTGACCTTTACGAAAGCTTAGAAAAATTCATGACTTGCTTATTTAAAGCTTTAGATTGGTTGACTAGATGTATAAGCTTTTTGTCCGAGACTTCCTTACTATGCATGCAATGCGTGTTATAATGATCATTCTCTTCACATATATAGCACACTAGATTTTTGGTTTGAGTTGTCTTTTTAATTGGCTTCTTTGATTGCACACCCATATCATTTTTACCCTTTGGTGAACTTATGTTTACACGTGGGGGTGATGGGTTGAGATTACCCTTGACAAACATGGTCTTGGATGGAGTGGAGGTGGTGTTGTCATTAGTGTAGATCAGACCTCTTTTGTCACCAACACTCTTCCCTATAGACAATATTTTATTCAATTTTCCTATGCTAAGGGGAAGTCTCTTTTTAGAGTTCTTGCAATTCGTAAAGGTCTCTATCAAGTTTGATAAGTTTAATCTCTAGACTTTTCTTCGACTCTAAAAGCCCATTGTGCTCATTCTCAAGAAAGTTGACTTTGTCTAGAAGAGACTTTCTTCTCTTCCTCAAGCCCACAAATATGAGCTTTGGACATCACTAAGTCTATGTAAAGTGCTTTCTTGTCATCTTCACTTTATTTTTAGCCTCGCGCTCAATGAAAACATCTTCTTCTTTTGTTTGAGGCATTTTTCATATAATTGGTTATATGCATCTTGAAGGTTCTCAATATTTTTAGTCTCATCATCACTAGTAGAGACTTCAACATCTAAGTCATCTACTTCCATGGTAGGACTTGACTCAACTTCAACTCTATAAGTTTTTTCTCGGGAGAGGGAGGCATACGAACCAACAAAGGCTATAAAATTCTCTTCATCCTCTTGAGAAAATGAGTCATCATTTGAAGAGAACTCACTTTCACGCTCGCTCAACCTACCCTTCTTGGCTCTCCTCCTTTCTTTGGGAATGTCCTTCTTCTTTGCACTAGGATATTCCACAGCCACATGTCCAAAACTTTGACATCTCTAGGGTTGGAGTTCTTGCCCTTTCTTATCAACATCTTGTTGAGAAGTTTTGCCCCCTCTCTCTTCCCTCCCTAGGAGTTTTAGTCTACTTGGTTTTCCTTTCGACCTTGAGGACTCGACACCATTAGCTTTAAAATATTTTTTGAACTTTCATGCAAGTTAAGCTATGTCCTCTTCTCCTAATAGAGGGTGACTCGAATTTACCTTTATTTATTTTTTGAGTTTAGTTAAATTTTTAAAATTTACATATTGCATGTCTTGCCAAATGTCCGATAATTAATCTACAATAAGATGGATTTTACCTTTTGATCTGATATGACTTGATGCATGGTGAGGCTTGGTATTCATTCATATAATATAAAAAATATTCTTTATTTTTCTGAATAATTACAACTAATTTTATTTTTAATTTCATTTAATTATCTTTACTCGTTAAAGTGTATATGCCATTCGGTTGACCATGTTGGAGAAATCCATGGATTTGTTTTCGTTTCATTTTGTACAAAACATTTTGGTATTTCAACCTATTGAAACACAATAGTGGTATGTTTCGAAATGTTTCGGTTTTTCAATCTTTTGAAACGCAATAGTGGTATGTTTCATCACTTTTTGAAGAAATAATAAACGAAAACATTCGAAATCAGTGAGTTATAAAACTCAAGTCGTATGACGTGCAAATGAATTATGTCATATTGTCAACCAAATGATGTCAGAGAATTCAGACCAAAGATTCATTGGGTTGCTCACACCTGAATCACATACAAATCATGTGTAACCATGAGTTCTTAACTTCATTTTGAAGCACAAGTTTCTAAACATTTACTTGGTGATGTTGGGATAATTAGGGTTTGGGTTTGTACTACTCCTTACCACGTGTTGAAGGGATATAGAATTTATCGGTTAACTTTCTTTTGGAAACAAATTAGACATAACCGGTGGGCCATAAATTCTTTTCTTTGGGCCGAATTGGTTTTGTGAATTGAATCTTTTTGATTAATTTCAAAAATGGTGCATGTATTATTTTTGGTCTTTCTTTAATGCTTCTAAGAATTTTTCATCATTTCTTCAAATTTAAAAATTTGAAAAATTTCTATTTTTGACTAATGGAAACATATGTTACAAGCAAAACTTTGGACAACGGAGAAATCTACCCAATCTATCACAAGTGGGCAGATTCCAATCCCTAACCATGGTGGTCACGTGTCACTGGCTACTAAATTACCATTTTGCCTTTTCCTCGCTAATGTATTTCCCTCACAATCACAAAATTGCTCTCCTCTGTCTCTCTGCCACACCAACGCTCTGTGATCGACCGCCTCAACTTCTCTCTCTCTCTAGCTCTCTCTCCCTCCCTACAATTCGAATGCAGAACCCGTCTCCTCCATCCTAGCCTCCGCGACTCTGAGGTTCCGATGCCCTGACATCACCGTCGCCGGGAACCACTTACAGTCCGTTCCCCGGCGGGGTAGCCAGCCTCGGCTTATTTGCAGCCTCTTGCTTGGAATCTGTTAACCTTGGTTTGGGTCTGATCAGATTCTGAATATAAAGACGACGTTTTTTGTGTAGATTGTAGGGTTTTTGTCTGCGCCATGGCTCCTCCTCGTAAACGTGGAGCAAAAGGAGCGAAGACCAAGAGTGAGTTGAGTTTGGGCGATCTTGTCCTCGCCAAGGTCAAAGGCTTCCCTCCTTGGCCTGCCAAGGTTTGTACATGCCTCCTTAATTGTTCATCAACAGTGTTAGGATTCCATTGTTGTATTCAGGCATTCCTCTTTTTTTTAAGGACCTCAATTCGCTACTGTTTCATCACATCAATTGAGTCTCTATATGTTTTCTTGACTATTTTTTTGATTGGTTGTTTGGTATTTACTTGACAATTGATAATCCTTTTGATTGTTCTTTCACTGAGTTTATATATTGACTTTTTATACATTAGAATTGTTGAGTTTCTGCATATGCTTTGGTGGTTTCGTAATTATTGTAATTTTTAAGTAATTAGTTCTTGTTTAAGGAAGTTTCTTTTGACAACCCATTTCGATTAACTTCCTTGAACTTGTTGGATGAATCAATGCAGAGGCTTTTGATTTGCGTTTTTGTGAATCCTGTAGTGATTATTGCCTAATATGTGATAGGATTGCTCAGTAGTTGCTGAATTAATCCTAGAGATGATGTAAATTGGGGGTTAAAAATGTTTTTTTAGTGACCAGTGTTTTTTGACATTAGTGAGCCTACTTACGATTTTGGTCTGTAGTCTTGAGTAGTGGATTAATCAATTTAGACGCTTTTGAGTTGTGTGTGAGCATGCACGAACTTGCAGATCTTGTACTAATTAATGTGTAAAATGTTATGGGACTGTTCAGAAATTGCTAACTCAATTGAAAAGGTGATGCAAATTAGGTTTAAAAAGGTTTTTCAGTGATGAGTGTGGTTTGACTTTAGTGTGTTTACTAAAGCATTTTAGTCTATAGTACTGTTGTAGGACGCTGTAATACTTGAGTAGCCATCGAGTTTAGGAGCCCTAGCCCAGTGTGTTTGCAAATTATGACATTGGTAATGACCTAGTGAGTGCATGTCATTGAGAAAAAGAGGGGCAGGGGACTTAGTGTTTCTTGTGGTGTTCTCTTCTTTGGCCAAAAAGAATATCTAGAACTTTCCATTGAACTAGCTGCATGATTTGATTTTTTGGGCCTACTTGCAGTTTTGCATTTGTCTTTATTACTTTAGTCAAGTTCTCAAACTAAAAAAGGGGAAGAAGGAAGATGATTTTATTAATAATTGAGATGATTGTAGATTGTGTGATGGGTGCATTTGTGTGCATGTCTGAGATATTTGCTGTTGTTGCATATACATATGACATTTTTTAATGTATTATGTGCTACATTTTATGGTTTTTGCACAATAGAAAGATTAATGTAAACTTGGTGTCAGATGGATTTATTTCTGCACCTTTTCTTTGCATTCCAAGCTTGTTAGATTAGGTATTGAGCAACTGTAAACTTTATTTTATTGGTGCTTTGTGCTTTTATTTTATTAGGATTTTATTGTTGTTGCTTGCATCGTTTTGTTATATAATATAGATACATTTTCTATGTAGTTAATTGTTTTGCTTATGAGACAATTTTTTTTGTGGGCATGAATTTTCACAGATTAGCAGAGCGGAAGATTGGGAGAGAACCCCTGATCCTAAAAAATATTTTGTCCAGTTCTTTGGTACTGCAGAAATGTAAGTTTTCATTAGACTTTTCCATGTTTTTCATGTGAATCAAGTGTTTGTGCATGAATGTATGGTTTTCATTTTTTTGGTAACGAAGGAAAGCATAAATTAGGTAAAAAATTTGGCTCGTAGAATATATGCTTTCTTAATGTATAACATAATCAATTTACTATGCTGTTATTTTTTAGTTTTGGGTGGTACCAGTGAAAACATAGACTAGTTAGAAAGGACAATTGCTTAGTAGGTTTTTGTAATTGAAAATGATTTGTTGTGGGATAGAGGAAAGTTTTTGGCATCTTTATAGGCTGTTGTTACTAAAGAGTTTCAAGATATTTCTCTATCCGCTCTTCAACACAATTGGAAAGCTATATGTATTTCTTAATTTTTTTTTCCTTTAATTTTGCTCTTTTAGGTGGGTTCCTTGCCCAATATTTATGTAAACTTCTTATTATTCTTTTAATGAAGTGTTGTTTCTTATAAAAAAAAAAAGAAATTGAAAACTTGTTTTTTATTGAGTCTGGTGAGAATGAATGGGCTCCTCATGGGACCATGACCACTGTAAGACTTCTTGGCTCTTTGGAAAGAACTTTGAGGTTTATAGAAAGGACTTCATGATCGAGTCTTGCAGATCTTACAATAAATTACACTGACAACTGGCCATCTGGTGAATGCACAAGATGTTTGTTGACCTTTTAGGGTTACAAACCTCAGAAGAGCTATAGGATCATTAGACTTTAGGCTAGTATGTGTGGCTTTTATAATGAAACACGGTGTGAGGTTGCAAGTGTTATTAAAAGTATTCCTAGGCACTAAGGAGTGTGAAGTGTTGGAAGCACAACAATAATGATTGCTGTTGCACTACATAACACAATCATGTGCATGTCTCCGTGTGCTTTGTCCAGGCACGACGTTCAGAAAAGCACATTGTTGTAACTTTTTTAGAATTGTTTCACATTACTAATACCTATGCTTTGGAGGCATCTTGCTCCATAACAATTCTTTTTATGTTGAACATCTTTTTTGTGTTTATTGGGAGGAGAATGGACCTTTTGAGTTTGGAAAGTGCTACTCATTAGGTTAAGGCATGGTATCAAGATTATTACAAAATGTCATCTTTTGGATTGTTTAATGGTATTTTATATTGTGGTCTTCAATATGTGAGTTGGGAAGTGAATTTATGAGATGGAAGTGGGAACCATAGCTTTTAAAAAATAGGAAACTTATTAAGGATATCTACCTATAACTGATATTCAAATGTATAGTGACATCTACCCTTTTGAAACGTTGGGTGGGGAGAATTTCGAGAAATAGGGGGGACTTTGATACCTTAGTTAGGGAAATTGCACACATGATCCAATTTTACACGAGATTGGATAGATCCCTTTTTTCATTAGGTTGAGAAGACTATTTTCTGGGGTTTAGACAAGAAGCTTTGTCTATAGTAGCATACTAGCATTTGATCACTATCCTACTCCTCTTGAGACATCAACGGTGAATGGGGTTATGTGTCTTTCGATGTTTGGAAATATTTCATTGGAAGATAAGGATTGTGGGATGAAGGTGAAGGAGTGGGGGATAGAGGGGAGTTTTCAAGTATGAGAAGGGTTTAAGTTTATTAAAGGATTTGATTTTAATAACATAAGGTGTGGAACAAAGAGGAGTTTGGTTATGTTCGGTTTATTAAAAGGGTAATATCTGAAAGGATTGAGAAGGATGATGGATTAAAAGGGAATTAGTTGAGGAATTGAGGAAGGAGAGGTGGAACCATAGGAAAAAATTTGAGGTATTTTTTAAAAATGAAATAAGTTCGAGACAAAAAACACTAGATTGAAATGGGTGAGAGGAGGCGATGGTAACTAAAGTTTTTTCATAGAGTGACAAACGAAAACAAATGGGAACAAATCTTTAATAAGCTGAGTCTTGATTACTGTCCCATTCATGGGGGAAACTAGTTGCATGGAAATGCCTTTTGAGGAGGAGGAAATAAAAAGAGTGGGTTTTTGATGTAGTAAAAAGAAATCTCATGGTTTGGATGGTTCTTCCATGCCAATTAAAGTGTTTGAGGAATTTTTCCAAAATGGTGTGGGAACGCCATTAGAAATGTCACTTTGATATATCTCATTCTAAAAAAAGAGAACTCTTTGAAATTGAATGATTTTAGACCAATTAGCTTGGTAACAAGCCTTTATAAGATTGGTGCTAATGTTTTATCGGTTAGGCTTAGGGAGGTTTGAACGAGACAATAACAGATGTTGAATGTGGCTCTTGTGCCTAATGAAGTAGTTGTAGGAAGGAGGGCATTGTTCTCAAACATGATTTTGGGGAAGTGGATGACCATGTGGATTGAAACTTTTTAGATTTTGGAGGCTAAGGGCATCAGAGAAAGATGAAGTAGATGAGGGGTTTTTTTGCGGTCAATGAACATTTTTGTTATTCTAGAAGGTAAACCAAGGGGTAAGTTTAACACATTTATAGGCTTAGGCAAGGGAATTCATTGTCATTTTTTTGTTTAGTATAGTGGTGGATGGTTTGAGGAGGCTTGTGATGAGGGCATAGAGGTGTAATTTGGTTGAAGGCTTTGCTTTTGAGAGGGGGACCATTTCAATTTTTCTTTAGTAATTTGCCAATGATAATGCTGTATTCATTTCCTTGGTGGAAGAAAATAAGATGAATTTTGGAACCTTAAGAAAATTTTGGATGTATTTGGTGTGACTTCTTTGCTCAAGTTTAGGATGGATAAAAGCATGATTGTTGGAATAAATTTTAGTGACCATAAGATTGTTATGCTGGCTTCGGAGTTGGGGTGTTGTGGGTAGCCTCTTTAGAATTTAGGCCTTCCATTGGGGTAAACTGCTGTCCTTAGCCTTTTGGGTCATGTTATTGTGAAAGTTGGGAAAAGATTTGAAGGGTGGAAAAAAGCTTTTGTTTTAGGGGGAGGGGACATTTAACATTAGTCCAGTCTGTATTGGCTAGTATTCTCGCCTATTTCTTCTCTCTATATAATACTCTATATAACATGACTAGATTGAGGGATGATAAGAGAGATTTATTGTGGGGAGGGGAGTGGTGAGAGAAAAAAGGATCATTGATTAGTTGGGAGTTGGTGTCTGGGCCTAGAGAAAAAAGTGGTCTCACATTGTGGAATTTGTTGGATAGAAATGTACTCTTTGTTGGAAAATGATTTTGGAGATTTGTTTTTAGTGCAACATTCACTATGGCACTATGTTATTCGAAGCAGACATTGTAATTACCAACCTATGTTTGAGATTCTAATGTGGTTGAAAGACAAAATTTGTAAAACTCTTGCAAATTTATTTCGCAAGGATTATCTTATTTTTCTCAAAAAGTTTTCTTGTAGGAAATAGGGAGAGAGTTTGTTTCTAGGAGGATACTTGGTTTGAGGAGGCTTCGTTCTCATGTTTGCTTCCCAACTCTATCATCTATCTTGTGATCATGATGCTTGTATTGCCTTTTTGGTTAGGTCCAATTTGTATCCACTTATTGGGATTTTAGCTTTACTAGAAATCTTAGTTTAGTTGGTGCTTCTTTCCTTTGTTCACAATATTACTTTGAACTTGAATACTCGGATAGATGATGTTGGTTCATTAATCCAATGGGTTTCTTCTCTTGGGAATCATTCTTTGAGTTTTTGATTGATGATTCTTAGCTTCCTCTCTTTCACTCGTCACTGAGATTGAGAAGCTAAAGTGCCTTTAAAAGTATAAGTATGTGCATGACCAATTGCTCACGGTAAAATTAATAGTAAAAGTTTGTTAAAAAAGAAGTTTTTTTTTGATTTATTGACTCAGTGACGTATTATGTGTTGAGGTGATGGCGAGAGCATGCCTCATATATTTGATTTTTTTAGATAAAATTAGAATTTTATTAAGGTTGAGAAGAGATAAAAAAATTTCAATATGGAGGACAAGATATCCTTCCAAAGTAAAAAGATAAAAAACCAAAAAAGAAAAAAAAAAAAAAATTAAACCAGAGCTGCATTCCAATCCTTTTGAAGATCCGCCACAGGTAAACCTCTGAACTTTGTTGCGGACTTAGACCATAAAGAGGCATGAAATACAATTCCGTCCCAAACTAAAGGCAATGTAAGGAATTGATTTTTGAATATTCTTGAGTACCTTTTTGTCAAAATATTCCAAAAAATCGGCAATCAAAGCACAACTCCGTAAAACCTTGCCTTTTTTACTCCTCCCAAATCCTCTAAATTTAGTTTGTAGCATTTCCTCCACATAAGCTGGACAAACCTCTGCGTCTCCATACACATTAAACAAGTTGTTTCACAATCCCCAAGCAAAATAAAACAATGAATAAATAATGGCCATTGGACTCTTCATGTCTCATGCAAGTGGAACATACATTAGGTCTCAAATCTTTGTAAGGTCGTCTCACTTGCAACATGTCATTAGTATTCACTCTATTGAGCACCATAGATCAAACAAAAGCCTTTATTTTAGAATGACTCTTTACCTTCCAAAAGAACTTATCAAAAGAAAAAGAATGGACCGTATGGGGACTAACAAGATAGGAGTGAAAAGATTTACAAGAGAAAATGCCTTGATCATCCTTAATCCAAATTCTACAATTAGGAAAGTATTAGGATGGAAATTTTGAAGAATAAGAAGTAAAGATGTCAAATCCTATGCTTCTCTATTTTTTAGACTCCATAAGAAATTTAGCATTTATTTGTGCATTGTTCTATTGCTTTAACTTCGTGGAACAGGTTATTTGAGTTGGTAGGAGTTTGTTGGGTGCCCGTGCTTCATGTCATTTTTGCTTTGGGTGGATGTTAAAGGTATTGTAGGGGGTACAAGAGGCGTTACTTGCTGGAGCTGCGCTTTTCAAGCCATTGTTTTGGTTATTTAGTAGAAAAGGAACTCGAGATTTTTTGAGACCAAAAGTGAAGTGGTGTAAGGATCATGGTCTATTTCTTGGCTTCTTTTTGGCCTCTGTTTCGAAAGATTTCAAGAATATCCCTATGTTTGGTATTATTGCAAGTTGGAATACGTGATATGGCATATGATGTGGTTTTTTGTTCCTAGTAGTGCCATGTACCAATTTGTTGCAGAGTGTCAAGGGGAAACTACTCTAATGAAGAAAGTCATGTGTCTCATGTTTATGCCTTTTGTTTCCTGGTTGGATGCTTTATTCACCTTTATCTCGGATCATATGACTTATTATTGTATTATCAATAAAATTCTGTTCCTGATAAAAAAAAAACGTGTGTAGGGCATTTATCTTTCTTTTCACCATGATAGACTGACATTGAACACTTGATTAATATCTGGAATCCAAACAAAAAAATGGAATTGATTAATTTTAAACTTTTGCATTTTTGTGAAATGAGGGTAGCTCCTTGCAGTGGGACCCCTCGAAAGGGTTGAACAACATTAGAATGTTTGGATTAACTCTCATTTCGGTACATTCCGTAAATATATTGGGATATTTGATGTGGGTTTGTGCTTCTGAGTGTAAGACATCAAGCAAACATTTTCTGACAATCTGAGTGGATATCAGCAGAGAAAGAAAGAAATATGGTGTATTTAAATGTCACAGGTAAAGTTGTGTGTTGTTTTGAGGTCATCGGTTACTCTATCTGATTCGCCATTACCTTAATGGGTTGTTCTATATTTTGCCTTGCATCTGTAATTGCGATTTTGTTAGATCTCTTTACTGGATTCTTATATCGTTTATCTTTCATATCTCTTGTCAAGCAGCATAGGAAGCAATGAATTACCAAGTTAGTTGTATTAAAGTTGCCATGTTTCTTAATGCCAACTTGAAGAAATGCTTTATTTGCTGTTCCGCTCTTATTGTGAGGTCATTTACCACTGCATATATGCTATTGCCAGATATATTAACTTTACATAATTCTTCTTGGTTCATGGACATTCATTCTAGTTCTTGGCAATTCATATTTGGGATGGAGTTTCCTGATCTATTCCTTATTGTATATACGTGTCTGCATCTGTTTATAAAACCTGACAAATTGGCATTTTAGATGCTTGTGGCATCCTTGGAGCTTTGCAATGATAACCATTCTGTTGTAATCTTCCTTTTACGCGGTCATACTTTTTTATCTCTACCGAAAAAATTATGTTGATCTTGCCTGGCCAGTGAGTGGCTTTTAACCTCGTGACATTTTTGTATTACTATGGTTCTGTGGGTAAAAGTATAATCCTGTATCTTTTGTTCAAAAGATGATAGTGTAGTCCGTTTGTTTGTTTTGGTAGGTATGTTGTAACAATTGTGTATGCATTTATTTGGGTATCATGGAAATTAATGGCCAACTTCTGGAATTTTTTAATAAAATTTAGATTGTTATATAGCAGCATTATGTTTCTTTTTTGTTAGTTATGTTGATTTACTTTGTGGATTACCCATTGAATGCTTGTGGAATTTTGTTTTTATGTTTTTCGGAAATGATTTTCTCAATTAGTTCTCTTTTCCAGAGCTTTTGTTGCTCCTGCTGATATTCAGGCATTTACTAGCGAGGCAAAGAATAAATTGTCAGCCCGATGCCAAGGCAAGACCGTTAAATACTTTGCACAAGCTGTGAAGGAAATCTGTGAAGAATTTGGAGCTTTGCAGAAAAAGAATTCAAGTGGTGTAGGAGATGATTCAGACAGATCAACTCCTGGGTGTGATGCCCCCTCTGTTGATGGGGCAGTAGATAGTGCTGTAGAGGTTGACTTAAAAAATGGTATTGGGACAAATGAAACTAGGGGAGAAATAGAGGTTAAAGGCACTGGGTTGGAGCGCTGCTCACTACGACTAGGAGACATCAATTGGCAAGATATAAAACCTGCCATTTCAAGCAATGCTAATGATAGTTCGTCTCCAGTAACGTCCTCCAAAAAAAAGAATAAGCTTTGCAGTGACGGTGCTAAAATACCAAAGCTGGAGGTAGTATCAGGATCTAGTCCATGCAATTTTTCCTGTCCCAAGGAGGAAGTCTCTTGTGATAGTAATACTGAAGATACAAGGAATACGAGAACCCAACTTGGACATGTAAAGCATACTTTAGTCAGTTATGAAGTTTCACATCCTGCCAAAAGGTTGACAAGTTCAGACTTGGTGGACGATGCCACCCGGGGGTTACTCAAAACATACAGACAAAGTGATTGTCAAAGCCATAGTGTTGTTGAGGGCAAAGCAGATAACGCTGAGATTAAAAAGCCTGCACTGCGGGGGGAAGTTGAAAATCGCTTGGCATCCAGAGCACAGACAGGTAGTGTTGATGCCAATACTCCGAGTGATGAAGATGGTCTTCCCCAACAAAGCGCCGTCGCTGGGCATTGGAGGCCACGTCTGGTTCTTCCACTTATGAAGGTAAAGCGGGAAAAGGTTCTGCTGCTTTTAGATCTGATTTGTCATGCTCAGGCAATGTTAAATCATCGGTTACTCCATTGCACACAAAGCGGAGAGCTGTTCGGCTATATGGTGGCGATGATGATGACGAGCCCAGAACTCCAATACATGCAGGATCTGTGAAGAAGGTTCATGCACATTCACATGTCTCAGAATATGTCAAGAACACTGATGCACATGTTGAGGGTTCTATACATGATCGGCCATGTGTAAGAGATTCAGGTATACTTGAGAATGGTCCTTCAAAGGAACTTATACCCCCTGCCAAACTGAATGGGTCTTCATCACCTAATCCTCAACAGACTGTAGAGAAGAGGCCTAAAAAGTCAACAGATTCACATGCCGTTCTTAGTCCAGGGAATTTGGGACCTGATAAAGTATCATCAGCAGAGGCTAAACCAGTTTTGTTTTCCCCTAATAATTCTCCCTTTGCCACAAAACCAGTATTTGAACCACATAAAGCCAATAAATCTTCAGCTAAGGTATCTGGTAGTGTTTCTCAGAAAAAGGTTCCAACTGGGCCTTATAAGGGATCTGAAGTGGTTTCTAACGCCTTGAATTATACTCGTAATCAAGCAACAATTGAAAAAAGTAAACCAATTTCTTCTGGGGAAAGACAAAAATCTACTCCAAAATCAAATTTACGGGTAAATGATTCTTCTCTTGTAGCTGGAAATCCAATGGAATGTAAATCACTATCCATTGACAGGTATGGTTTGATATTTTGTGCTCTATTTATTCTTTGTTTATAATTTATTTTTATGCCCATGATAATTTCTGCTGAATTCAGGCTGGAAGCCGGAAGAGAAGATAAGACAAGCTCAATGATTGACACGCAGATTTCAGACTCTGTTACATCTATGAAGCATCTCATAGCAGCTGCTCAGGCGAAAAGAAGACAAGCTCTTTCACAAAGTCTCTCTCATGGTAATGCTAGTTCTGTTTTCGTCCCCACTACCGACATAAGTGGCGGGAGCCCCAGCCCCGCCCCTGCTGTTCAGCGCCTTCAATCCAGCTCCAGCATTGTGGTCGAACCAGATAGTCAGGGATACTATCCTCATTCCTCTTTAGCTTCTCCATCTTCTCATGCTCGGCAGATTTCGTCAAACTATCAACCTGATAACGAAGAAATTGAGGAGAGAAGAGTTAGTTCAGGGCACCGGCCTGCTGGGGGTTCCCTTAGTGGTGGTACTGAGGCAGCTGTTGCTCGTGATGCTTTTGAAGGAATGATAGAGACACTGTCAAGGACCAAAGAAAGTATTGGGCGAGCAACCCGACTTGCAATTGATTGTGCAAAGTATGGCATTGCCAATGAGGTATGTATGGAATATGTTTACCTTTCTTTTCCGAGTGAGCTGTTTCGAACTGGTTCTTGCTGAGTAAGTGTCTAAAATTTGACTACAATTGGGCTTTGCAGTTTTTCATCTTACCTGTTCATCTTTTTCATCAATGATAGCTGAGAAATTCATTATTATTTAGTATTGGTTTTCCTACTAACTACTGTGAACCATGACTCTCACTACCACTCTTTTTAAATTTATGGGATAAAAGAATTAAGCAATTGTACTCTTTAAACTTGAAGGAACTGGAAAAGAGATGTAACTCCAATTCCAAAAGTCAGAAAAATTAAATTAATAATGATTAACAAAATGCCAAGATAATTCGTTTCATTCTTTTGATAGGTATCAAGGATTATTCATTTTGTTTTTCCTTAGAATTCGGCATTCTTTGTCATCTCCCATCAGAAGAACAAAGAAAAGGAAAGGAGTTATTCATATATTGTTCCTCTAGTTCAATTAGTTGGACTATTCGATATAAATATTTTTGAAATATTGTCATATTTGTCCTCTTCCATTTCTTTGGTTTTTACTTTTTTTTTTTTGGGAAAATTGTGAAAAGGCACACATTTTCATACTTATTTGTGTAAAAGTACCTTAATATAAAACATGTGTATAAATACTTTTATGTGGAAATGTTTGGTGAATAGGTACACTTTTGCTGAAATGTAATTTTTTCTTTTACTAAATTGCCCCTTTCATTTGTTAATTGGAGACAAATATGACAGTTATATTAGGGATTCAGTTTCCTAATTCTATGCTATATATTTTTTGAATTTTAAATTACCTATTCATGTGTGAATGACCAACCGTTTATTCAAACATTTCATACCTATTCCTCTATCATTCAAACCTCTTCCTCTGTCATTTACTCCATTTCGTAACCAAACATGTTCCAGTTAATTGCAATGGAAGAAGTGCATCAGGTATGTCGTCCATGTGTTTTTTTTTTTAAATCATTACGGTCTCTTAACGTGAATCATGTTTATGTGGGGATAAATGTCAATGATGATAACTCAAATGGGGATGATCGTAATAATCAAGATGATTCTGATTTGGAGGATGATTTGCTGCCTCGCACGATAATGTCACAATGACAATGTCACACTGGTACTAGAAAATATCACACTGCTACAAACCAAATTCACACTACTACAAATCAATGTCACATTACTACAAGTCAATGTCACATTGCATAGATTGACATGATGCATGACACAATGTATTTGACCTCTTTGATTTTTTTTTTTGGCAAATGATCAAACACTTGGTGTGCATGTAGTAACAACCACTAGAAGTAGAAAGGCAATTGAGTGACAAAAAGTAGATAAAATAAAAACGTTGAGAGAAACAACATTTTTCTTGAGTTATCAACTTATTTTCCAAAAATTTCAACGATTTTTTTCTTCAGCGATGAATTTTGGAATGATCGTCACCGTTTGATACGGATATTTTCCGTTATTCACAGTGAACCCATCAAAAACCCCTCACTTATTCAAAGGGATTTTCACATCCTATTCAGCGATCAACATGAAGTATTGAAAAGAAATGAGGTTTTAGGAAAGGTTTCTCACAAATATCGGAAGAATGTATGTTTTCCGAAGAGATTTTCACTTATTCTGGGTGAAACAATCAAAAATTCGATTACTTGTGAATAGTGATATTCACTTCTTCAGGAACGATCAACAGGAAGTTTTGAAAATCCAAAAGGAAGTTTTATGGAAGTTTTTGGAAGAATGGGGTTTCCGGCGATATTGAAGGGATTTATGTGTAACAGTTGAGATGCCTTAAGTTTCGGTTGTGGAGGCAAAAATATAGGAATCAGTTCCCATTTTATTGAAGGGGGTATTTTAGAGATTTGTTAGGGGTTGTGTACTTTTTGACCTTTATTTTTAAATGTGGTATTTTTTGCCCTATAATTTCTAAAAAGGGTACCGGCCCGGCGGCCCCCTTAAAACCCCCTTTTTTTTTTGGGGGGGGGGGGGGGTAGGGGTTTTCTGGACCTTGTTTTGATATTTATTCTTTGTAGGCTCCTATTGTATATTTTGCTGTACATGAATTTTGCCTGCCCTTTCTGGCAGCCGTAATTAACTTCCTAGTCATAGGAAAAGTTGGAGAGCACAGGCCGCAGTGTAAATGCATACTTCTGTTCAACTAATGGAAGAGGCTAGACCAGTTCTGCTCATCCCTGCATCCAGTATTGGTGGGACCGGTCAAATAGTGCGTACACCAGTTGATAATATTGGATCACATTCTGAATCATTGTGGTCCTAATATATGTATTAGGTGTTTAATGCCGTTCAAGGTCACCATCATTACACATTCATTGTTGGTCTGGTTGCTGGTCTAGAGAGCATTCCTAGCCGCCTAGAGTGCAGCCTGCCTGCTTAAGACCGTAACGGAAGTAACTCGGTGCTCCATAGTGGGAAATGAAAGCAGAATTCATTCGGATCCTCCTACATGTTCAATCATTTTTTCTTACTCATTTAATTTCAGTTATATTTTCCTCATTTCATAAAATGAAAGGTCTTATTTATAAAATGCCAAAATAATGCCTCTATCAAGGCTTTTAATTGTTACTTTCTAACGAGATCAACTTGTCAGAGTTACCCTGGAACGATATTATGCATTTTAAGTGGGACTTAATATTATGTCAACCCCTCCTTTCTTGCAGGTTGTTGAACTTCTTATTCGGAAGCTGGAAAGTGAGCCTAGTTTCCATCGCAAAGTGGACCTATTTTTTCTCGTGGATTCAATTACTCAATGTTCTCACAGTCATAGAGGTACCTGAGCAAACTCATCATTGGCCATGATAGTTATGACTGCTTTCCTCAGTCCCTTACTGTCCCTCTCCTTCTTCCCCTCCCCCCTCTCTCTCTCTCTCTATATATATATATATATGTATATCACTATATGTGGGTGTATTGCTTATGGATGGTTCGCTGCTGCAATGTATATATTGAATTGATTATGGTCAACTACTGTGATATTGTTCTGACAAATTATATTTGTCGACCCTTGTGTTGTTGAATGGAGCAAATTTGCTTTTCGTTCTTAAGAAAGATATCTGCACCGCCATGAAATTTCAATATTTTGATTGCTTTTGTTTACTCCTTTGCTTGTGATGTTTCTTCAGGCATTGCAGGAGCCTCGTATATCCCTACAGTGCAAGCAGCATTGCCTCGTCTCCTAGGAGCTGCTGCTCCACCCGGGGCTGGTGCTCGCGAAAATCGTCGTCAGTGTCTTAAGGTGATTCACTGACACCGTGTGTTTATACATGTATAGACACAAGTTGGATAACCTTATTGTGATTTGAATAAATTGATTTAATTTCTTCCTCAGGTTTTGCGATTATGGCTGGAGAGGAAAATTTTGCCAGACTCTCTTCTTCGGCGATTTATGGATGACATTGGAGTTTCAAATGACGATACAGCTTCTGGGTTTTTCCTTAAGCGTCCATCTCGAGCTGAGCGGGCTGTGGACGATCCCATTAGAGAAATGGAAGGACTTCTTGTTGATGAGTATGGAAGGTCTGAATATCATTCTTCACTCTCATGCTTTGTATGATATATTCTCTGTATGTGCTATAGATTATGGTTCTCCAATCTTGTCGTTTCTTTCTTTATTTTTTCAATCAAATGTGAAGGTTGTTTCTATTATTTCTGCTGGAGATGAGGTAAATGACTTGGAAAGATGATGGTTATGACAAATAAAAAATAGGATGTACATATATTCGCTATGCAATGACAGTTTCCATAAAAAAATTTACTGTCATGTTGTCATCTTTACTGCCAGAATACAGTGGTGAGTACTACAGAATTTTACCATCCCACTTTTGTGATGAGGTATCTTTTTTCTTTTTTTTTTTTTACTTTTGGATTAATACTGCAGATTATTGGTGTTACCCTCTTAATAATAAGTGCTACGATAACCACATCTTATAATAGGTGTATGATTACCACATCTTATAATAAGTGCTATGATAACCACATCTTATAATTAGTGCTATGATAATCTCAGTTTGGAGCTGATTGATGATGAAACTGAGTATTAGGAATTTAAAGCTTTCCTAGGGGTGTAATAGCCTTACTTCAAGTGTGTGATTATTAATGCACTTCTTGGTGTGGTTTCCAAGTTTTCCTTCCTCTATTCTCTTTCTTTGAATATTTACTTCATGTCCCTTGGATCAATAATGGTTCCACAGTTTTGACCCTAAGTCATGCCTGATGGTGCTATCAGGGTTGATGATTAATTTTTGATTAACCTTAGTGTACCTATTCATTAATGTTACAATGCTACTTTCCTATTATGTTCTACTTTCCTAATGTTGCTATTGCCTCCAATATCAATCTATTATAAATAGGAGATAAGGTGTTAGCAATACACACCATAAACATAATATTGTTTCATACTCTCTTTCTTATTTTCTTTTCCTTAACTCTTATATATAATTATTCAAATTTCAACTTCGTATCAGATCAAGATACTTGAGTGAATGGGGTTGACCCTAGGCGAGCGCCTCACTGGCCTAGTGGTTGGGCCGACCTAGCACACATCAAATTATAGTCATCTGCGTCTGTTTATCGATTATTTTGATCATTATCAACTATTGTGGGGTGCCTGAGTCGGTGTTCATGTCTTCGGCGTTTGATCATCAACGCGAATTTTGGTGTTTTCAGTTTGATTTAGTGTCAGTTTAGTGTTTCTTGGGCTAGTTTGGTGTTAGTTTAGTGGTTTGCTTGTCGGTCCAATTCCTGTTTAGTGTCAGTTCAGTGTTTTCTGGGCCAACTTGGTTATGTTTTAGTGGTTTTCATCCCGGATGAATTTCAGGTTAGTGTTTTCAACCCTGTTTACTGATGGTTCAGTGGTTTTCTGAACAGTTTGGTACTGGTTTAGTGGTTTTTATCTTGGTTTAATTTCGGTTCAATGTTTTCAACATGGTTTAGTGTTGGGTCAGTGATTTTCAGCATAATTTGGTGCTGGTTTATTGGTTTTTATTTTAGTTCAGCTCCAGCTCAGAGTTTTCAACCTGGTTTAGTGTCAATTTTGGAGTTTTCTTCATGGTTTGGTATTGTTTTTGTGGTGTTTAGAACCGGTTCAACCCCTTTTTAGATGTTCAACTCTGATTCTGTTTGGATTATCTTGTTTTCAATTGTTGCGGCTTCATTTGTTGCTGCATGTGGTTCATTGTGGTGGCATTGGTTGTCTTTGCTTGTGCCAGTATTGTTGATGGTGTTAGTGTTGATATGTGTCTTTTGTCATCACCATTTTTATTTCCACTTTGTCATGATTGTCATCTGCTATTGCTTGTTTTGACATGGTTATTAATTGATTCTTTAAAAAAAAAAAAGGTTATCTTAGACTTCACATGGAGAAACTACTTGGATTTGTTGCTCCGTGTAGTGTGTTTCGATTAAAGAAGTCCTTGAAAGGTCTGAAACAGTCACCTACACCTTGGTTTTATCATCCTTATTGCTACGTGAAGATATCGCAATCAACCAGTGATTTTCTCACCAAACCATTGACACAGTTCACCTTTAGGAGCCTTTGTTCCAAACTGGACATTTTTGATCCCCAACTTGAGGGGAGAGTGTTAGAGATTAACTTTCCTATTATGTTTCTTAACTATTGTTCTACTTTCCTATTATGTTCTACTCTCTTATTATGTGCTTTCCTGCTATGTTCTACTTTCCTAATATTACAATTGTCTTCAATATTAATCTATTATAAATAGCTGATAGAGTGTTGGCAATACACACCCTATACTCAATATTGTTTCATATTCTGTTTTTTCTTCTTCTTAACCCTAGTATGCAATTATTCAAGTTTCAACTATAGCCATTCATTATTAATCTAGCCCAATTTGTATTAAAATACTGGGTCTACGTTGTCGTGCATCTAATGTGTTATTGGAGATAGTTTTATGTGATTTTCGAAGCAGTTGTGTATTTATGTCTAATTTTTTTAGTCTGTTTATGATCCTGTACGTTCAACAATTAATATTCGGCTTTGGTATTCATCATTTATGTTCTTCGATTTCTGCCGCACACTGAAATCATATCAGGTTACATTATCCTGCAAGCATGCAAACAATATAATAATTACATCTTGTTCTTATGATGTTCTCGGTTTATATTGCTACTTTTTTATCTTTGAGCTGTTATCTCTGGATTCCTTTACCATTCAGATTCTTATTCTCTGGCTTTCAGCAATGCGACATTTCAGTTGCCTGGCTTTTTGTCTTCTAATGTATTTGAAGAAGAAGAAGAAGAAGAAGAGGATCTTCCAAAGGCTTCAAGTAAGGAATCGGGTGATAGATCACCATTTGAACTGATCCCTGCCACAGGAGATCCTGAAACTTGTACGTTCACTCCGAATGACAGACGCCACTGCATTTTAGAGGATGTAGATGGTGAGCTTGAGATGGAAGATGTCTATGGGCACCTAAAGGATAAAAGACCAGTTACAAATTGGTTGTCTGATTTGGCTTTGGAGCAGCAAGGTTCACATAGGATCTTGGAAGATGCTCCAGACAATAGCACGGATTTGTCCCCTCTCTCTGAGGGTTCTCCACCATTGCCTCTTTATTCCCCCCCTCCAACCCCACCGCTTCCTGCTTCACCTCCACCTCCACCTCCTACACCGCCACCTCCACCTCCACCTCCATCATCTCCATTACCCCCTCCTCCCCCACCACCACCATCACATCCACATCTACTTCCTTCGGTGCCTGCTGGCCTGCCCCCATCATTACCACCTCAGCCTTCTGTAGCATCTCAACAGTTGCAATCACATCAATCATCAATACCACCTTCTCCAAATATGGCATATCAACCTTCAGTACCATATGAATATTGTGGCACATCTAGTGTAAGTCTTCCAGCAGTTTTTTTCTTTTCTTTCTTTATGAGAATAGGATCATATTGGGGCACACCTTTTTTCTCATCTGACTGTTATTTATTTTCTTTCTAATGAAAATAGCATAAGAAATATAGTTCCTCCTTTTTCTATTTGCAGGGAAATCAAGATGTCCAAATAGCTGCAAATACTCCTCATGGGGCTCATATTGATGCTGCTGTTAGAAGTGAAATGTTTCTGCAGCAATCACCTTGCTTTGCTCCAGCAGGGGTCTGCTCTTCACGCGAACCATCTGGATACAATTCTTGTGGATCATTAGATTATGGACGTGGTGACGTATATATAAATCCCCAAGCTTCTCAGCCCAACCCTCAATTTCAATCTGCTACTGCACCTTTCACTCAAAGACCTTTCCATCCTGCTCCGCCACCTCAAACTCCATCAAGTCATTTCTCATATACAAAGGCCTCAGTTCAGCAACACCCACAGAAGCCATACCCCCCACCATACTCAATGCTGAATCTTCCTGACGGTTCCAGGCGATATGTTGCTGATGAACCATGGAGGGTGCCCTCAAATGATTTTAACCCAGATAATCAGCATGGTGTGTGGATGAGTGGAGGGAGAACATCATGTTCTGGCCCACCTTTTACCCAGGAAGGTATGTGGCTTTTCTTCTGCCATGGTAACTTGTATAGAAGTTGCTGTTGAATGAAACATTGCCATTGACATAGCCTACCAACTCAAGTGCAGAATGTCTAATAAGTTTTTTATAGGAAACAAAAATTTCATTTCATAGCAAAAAAGGAAATATACATAAATGGTAGAGTAAGAAATGCTCTTAGAGGAGCAAATAAAAATAAAAATTAATTTAAACAAAATAATCAATCAACAAAAAATTACTTTCCAATTTTGTTGAAGAACCGGTAACGGAATATTACAAAACTCATTTGGTACCACTACAGATGTCTATATGTAGTCATTGATTGCAGCTTTTGATTGTGTCCTCTCAATGTTTGCTCAATTTTATGAAACGATAGGCTCCGTGGTTGTCTATGCCTTCATTTCTTATCATTATTGTCACAATTCAGTTACCTTTTGTATTATCACGCCTGACCAGCACATCCACTGGCATGTTCCCTTAATAGCTAACTTCGCTGTTGGAGAAGGGAGCTGCAATCGTGTGGGCTTGCTTTGTTTATTTATTTTAAATACTGGGGCATTGTGGTTCTATCATATTGGGACATCAAGCTAATTAATGATGATATATAACATGGCGAAATAAGGAAGTGAACTTTAGGAAATCTCTTGCCATGAGGGACTAAATCAGTTATGGTATTTGTTGTATGTGCTTGAGAGGTTAGAAGTACAAACTGCTGGCATTTCATTGATAGAAGCTCAAGACCGAAAGAGATATTTTATGCATATTCAACCTTAAGTCAGTGTTCAACTGCTTGAAATGTTTTTTTTATAGACGTCAACTGTTTGAATGTTTCAAGGCTAGATTCGTTATCTTTAGTGGCGCTTCTTTATGTTTTTTAATTAATTGTCCCTCATTCCTCAATACGTTTCTCATTTTGTGGTTTGGGCTAACAAGCCTTTGAGTGGTCTTGTTCTGTGTTGGGAGCAATATTCAAAGGATCCTTTCCCCTGAAATCATGTGTTTCTGTGGGTCTTACTGTAACTGGATTGATTAGAAATATCCGTACCCATATTTTTCCACCACGACGTGCATTTCATGTTATTTCTTGTTGACATGCTTCGATTTGTCTAGATGTGATCGAAGTAGGTTCAAGTGCTTGAAGAGCATCTTTACCGAAACAAATATGATTACCTCGATAAGATATTCTCTTTATTCTTCCTCTATGTTGTTTGCGGAATCTGGTTCTTTTGGGGATATAGTTGATGGTTGTTTTTGAATTTCATCTCTACTACATAACTGGGCGTGAGAATTTCTTCTCATCCAGCTCCTCGCGAATAAAATGAAAAAGAATGAAAAAAATATTTCATTTGAATTTATAATTTATATTAATATTTTATATTTATATTTAATAATATTTTCTTATAATGAATATTTATTTTGTTTTGCCTTTTTTAATTGTATTCCTGTTCCGACTGGAGATTTTGAAATTGCAACGCTGAGTATTGAAAATAGGCTATAGTGCTTACTCCTGGAAATTAGATTAAAGCGCATAATTGGTTGAAGGTCACAAGGCGTTTTAAATAAAAAAATAGGCCATTTTTTAAGTATTTGAAATTTTTTACATATTTTTTTATTTGTTATAATTAATTGCTTGTTGGCCCCATCAGTCACCCCATCAGTCACCCCATCAGTTCCACGGGGAAGAACTAATCAAAGAATTTCATTATATCTCTTCTAAGTGTTCTATTTCGTCTTGTATTTTGTAGGGATAAAGGATACACTTCATGAACTGAAGAAGGCGTTAAAAGCTTGGATTCCTATTTTAATTTATTTTTATTTTTTGGAGAGACGACTTGAACAAAAACAAGGACATTGAGTCATACAAGATAATTTGTCTTTAAAATTTACATGTTTGCATCTCAGAAATTGTCAGAATCATTTATCTTTGATTTGTTTTATGTTTCACATTGGATGTATTTTGCGCTTTGGTATTTTAGATCTTGCAAAATGTTTGGAAATTGTCATCTCATAAATCATTCATTTAAGAAATTGTAGTCTAATTTGATTCTATGATGGTGGTTACGTTTTAAGTGCTGCAGTTGGTTGCTGGATTTAGTTATGCTCAGAAAGTTCTTAGGTGCACAACAGTACATATCTGTAGGTTTATTAACACCAACTACTTATCTAGGGCATGTATATCTTTGCTCTACATCCCCGATATCAGCTGTACATTGTGTCTAAGCAGGTGGAAACATTTTTGACAGTTTGAACACATTTTTTTGTGGCAGGTTATTTCCGGCCGCCTCTTGAAAGGCTTCCCAACAGTAGTGTAAAGTTTCAACCGGCTGCTCCTAGCACCCTACCTGCTGACGCTCCACCTCGAGGTGATCTTTACCAGTAGAAAAGATGGTTCATTATTCTTAGAAGTGACTTCCTAAATGGTAGAACCCCAGCTTTGGAAGGATAATTTGTGGTGGAATTATCTCAGGTCACCATAGTTCTCAGATGATGCCCTGTAGACAAGATATGTCTTCCTTAACTTGTTGGAGGCCAGCTTAAGACAGCCTGACCTGTTGTCTATCTTTGGTGAGTTTATGTTCCTCCATGTCTTATTTGCTTGTTTCAGAACTCTTCTGTCTGCTGGTTGATACAAAGAAGGCCACCCACATTTGATATTTTTTGTTCTATTCGGATGGTTACTGTACTGTGGCAGTGTGTGTTTCATGTTTCAACCATTGATAGATGCCTTGTGATGATGCAACCATTGGTTGGTTGGCCCAATATAAATGAATTTGGAAGCCTAGACAGAACAGTAAAAATTTTTGGTCAAAAGGGAAAGTGTGATTTGTAGATTTGTTAGGATTATTTTAAATTAATCTGATTATTATCTGTTAGATTATTTAATTATTGAATATTTGTTTGACTATTTGATTAGGAATTTTTTTTAGAATTTTAGCTGGAGAGTAATCATCGTTTTGATGAGTCTTGACCTATAAATATTGATGTAGTCTCTACTATTTTTATTAGAGGGTGATATTATTGAAGTGAGTTTTCTGTGGAGAATTTGTGTTTCTTCATCTAATCCTTGTGAGGGTTATGTTGAGGGTTAGCAGAATATGTGAGATGCCCTACGAACCGCGATCTGGGTCGCATGACCCCAAACATTGATCGTTCACGACCTGGATCGTTCCAGTCTCCGACCCCAACTGTTTATCCAATCAATAAATCAAAACCCAGATCTCCAATATAAGCCCTAACCCCATATCAAACCAAATAATTGCAAATTGCACAAATTAAATTATAAGTTATAATAGGCCAAAGTGAAGATTAGGTAACTTACTCGATGGATCTCATACAGTTTTTCGTATTCCTTGATCGACAGTCAATCGTATTCCTCAATCCACAGTCGCTAGCGAGCAGGTTCATGTCACAGATCTCTGTTTATCTCTCCCCATCGACTTTGTTCCCGTCACATCTCTCACTCTTCTTCGACTTCTCTGGTTTGCCTCTCTTTGCGTCGCTTTCTTCGACTTCTCTGGTTTGCCTTTCTCTCTCAATCTCTGCTTCGACTTCTTCAGTTCACAACTTCTCTCTCTCTTAATTGGCACCGACTCACGTGATTTCTTTTGTCTGGGAACTAGTATTGATTTTGTAGACTTAATACCTAGTGGGTGGTATTAGTTTTGTGAAAAGACAAAAAAAACCCATATATTTTTTATGATAGGAAGAACACAATTTAGATAAAAAAGTCGATAATATTTAGATTATGTTAATTAGGCAATTGCCTTATGCACGTTTGCACTTTTTTTCACGCAACCCTATATATATTTTGATCCCAATCACGTTTGCCTTTGTAGTTTGTGCCACATCTCTTTGCCACCCCAATTTTCCTTTAAACTCGTACAACAAAATACAAATTAAATGTTAAGTAAATGATAGCTTATACACATATAAATAAAATAAGAGTGTGCAACTACTATAGGTTTAAAACAACTAGCAGCTGATTATGTGTATAATTTATACCTATAAATAATTCTTTGTAATTATGAAAAGGATTCATATAAGAGTCCAATAGCGTACCGACTAATCCTACCCCCATCGCATTGAGGAAAGTAACGTACCCCGTAATCGTACCACATACCCAACTGACCCGTGAACCAAATAACCTTTGTTTTGTATCTCTTATTCTTTTTTTTCCTCTCCTTGTCGTGCATCGATTCATATTAGCTATCCATCATCACTAGTTCTTGAGAAAATGAAAATCTTGATTCATCCTCTTCAGCTTGAGAAAATGCAAATCTTGATTCATCCTCTTCTGCTATCCATCATCAACAGCTTGTTGTCCAAGCTCCAACTCGAGAAGATCCTAAATTGTTTCATGTTGAGAGGGGATAAAGTAGATGATGGTGATTTCCATAGGCATAATAATTATGGGGTATTCTTTGATTGGTTACACAATCTTGAGTGCTTCTCTAGATGGTATCGGTGAGAGAAAGGTGTTCTTTGTAGAATCTACAGTGAGGGACATGGCAAGATTTTGGTGGGTAAAATATCAACAAACTCATTCTAATGTCAATACAACATGGGATGACATGAAGATTGTTGTTACTAGATATTTTGTTTTTGTTAATTATAAGCATTGAGCTCATCTATAATTTACATAGTTGAATCAAGGAAACATGTTTATTGAGGACTATAAAGAAAAATTCTACATTTTGGCCACACGTTTAGAGTTTTCTTGAATTGAGGATGTATTGATTGCCATGTATATAAAAGGACTCACTCACAAATTTCTTTGGGCTTACTTGCAAGTTGTTTTTGTACCATGGCAGATAGAGTACATGTTGCCCAACCGATTGAAGATGAGTTGAAAAAAGGAGCTTCTATGAAATCGTATATGGTGCCTACAACCTGAAGCGAAAGATCTTTCATGGATGCAAGTCAAGTCCATTAATAAACCGCAAGAGTGCACTTTTACTCCAAATAAATTATTGGGGGCTAGTGCTACTTATTCTTCTCAAGGGAGTACTAATCTTAAGACGAGATGTTTTAATTGCCATGACTTTGGTCATCTATCTTTTCAATGTCATACAAAATCTATTGCTATGGTTGAAAAGCAAAATCCCGAGGTGAATAATGAGTTTGAGGAGACAGAATTTGAAATAGAAATTGTGGAAACTCTTGATATAGGTGATGTTAGTTTTGATGATTTGGATGATGATCATTTGATGGGTGTTATCTGTTCAGTATTTTTTGCTTTTAAAGAAGTTGCTAAGGCGAGTTTATTCATAAAGAAAAAATCTTTTAGACAAGAGTTAATTGTGAAGGAGAGGTATGCGTATTAGTGATCGACTTTGGGAGATGCACAAATATGGTATCAAAAGAGGTTCGGAAGTAATTGAATTTGAAAGTTCAACCAACTTCTAGAACCATATCATGTTGCATGGATTACAAATGTGAAACTGAAAGTTAATAAGAGATGTTTAGTTCCATTCACCATTGAAATGCTTAAGGAGGCGGTCATATTTGTGTATTGCCTCTCAAGATTTGTCACATACTTTCTGGGCACACCTGGATATGGGATTGTGTTGCGCAATACGTTGGGCGTGCCAACTCTTATTCTTTTATTACTAATTAAAAGAAATGCATCCTTACTTGTGCTACAAATAGACATACAATGCAATTGAAAAAGACATCATTGGTAATTCAGTGGAAACAAACTCTTTGCTTGTGAAGATAGATTATGTATATCTGACCCTCCCTTGACCCCATAGTGACGGGAGCCTCGTGTATTGAGCCGTCCTTTTTATTGGTTCAGCGAGCTGCTTCATCACATGGTATTATTGGCCCTCCTTACTCATTGGAATCGAGCTCTTTTCAACTGGGAAGAATTGATGGCACAACCATCGGTTAGATGAACCAATATAATCGACTTTAGAAATCTAGACGGAAGAGTAGGAGTTTTTGGTGAAAAGGGAAGTTTGATTGGTAGTTTTATAAGGATTATTTTGAACAATTATTATTATTTGTTTGACTAAGAGTGTTGGGGAGAGTTTAATTAGGAAACTGTTTTAGAATTTTAGTATTGAGAGTATTTTTTGATTTGACCAGAGACTTATTCTATAAACATTGATATAATACCTACTATTTTTATGGAGAGTAATATTATTAAAGTTCTCCGTGGAGAATTTGTGTTTCTTAACCAAATCCTTGCAAGGGTTTTATATCTCTTATTCCTTCTTCTCCTTCTCTCCCAGTCCTACATCACATCCTGGGCCATGCTTCTGATAATATGTTGCTGGAAATTTCTCTATTCAATGGTTATTACAAACTGAACAAGTGAATGAACCAGGAAATACTAGACCAGGTTTTCTCAGCGATAATTGAACTTTCAATAGTAAGAGTTAAGACTTCCAAAAATTTCTAATTCATGATATTGCCATGAAGAGTAGAACTTTTTCGCATATAATATTCAAAATTTTGGCTTTCATATCACAATTTCGAAGTGTTGAACTTACACTAGTATGAGTATGTATAACAAAAGGGCAGCGTAGTTCACAAGGCTCTCATCACTACGGGACTTGTGGAGGGTTTGATATACATAGTCTCACTGCTGCTTTTGGAGAGATTGTTCCCATGGTTCAAACCCCTTACGCCCAAGTGACAATCGACCTTAGTGATGCACCAAAACCCAATGCTCATATATATGTACACACATATATCTGTTTAGATCTTTAATTGGTAAGTGTATTGATATGTCATGTTGACTTGATATACAAAACTTTCATGTAGCAAAATATTCTTTTGGTTACAAAAACCTTTTTAACTACATTAGCCTTAAAGATTGCCGTTCATAATTTTTGAAAGTTATGAGCTATACTTAGAAAACAAGCCAAACTAGTTGGTACCTGTGGAAAAACTTGTTTTAATCTGGTTTTTCCTTTTTGTGTCTTATAAAAGAACTTGTCAAGAAGATGGACCAGTCTTGGTCAAGAATAGTGTTATATGAATTCGCTCAAGATTGTATGCCCCTTATCTACGTCACCCCAAACGGGTTATGTTCGCGACCCGGATTGCAAAACCCTATCCCTAAATTGAAACCCTAGCTACAAGTTATTCTAAGACAATAGAAAATTGCATTGAATAGATTAAAGACTGGAAAAAACATAATCCATGAATCATATTTCTAAATTAAGTCATCTAGAACATTAAACAAATTGAGAATGAAACTTAGTGTTATTGGAAATATTGTATGTCTAGTTATAGATCACTTTATATGTATGTCTAAATTATTATATGTCTAATTTTATAGAGAGGAAAATTACTAAATTAATTAAGGACTAATACACTAATTTATTGTAAAATAAAATGACCAAAATCGTCTCTCAAGTCTTTTAAGATATATACGACGTATATTATTGTGGATATTTTAGTATAAAATATATACTTTTAAGGCTAATAAAAGTCTGGGAGTCTCACAAAATATCTCATTTAGTTGTTCAGGCTTTAAAGACTCATATAATCTTTAGTTTAACTTGGAGGAGACCTTCCAGAAAGAGAGAGAGAGAGATACACACAGAGAGAGGAGAGAGAGAGAGCACCTGAGGTAGCAATTTCTCTATTGCGATCGAATTGTGGTTGTGCGAATCACAAGGTCCTCACAATCGACGTGGGCCTAAGTGGAGAAATGAGGTTGGTGTGCGACATCATCACACGGAAGAAGAAGAAGAAGAAGAAGAAGAAGAGGAGGACTGTAATCATGGAGATGGCTTCGATCATCTAGTTCTTCCTTTCAATTTCTTCTTTTGGTTATAAAATTGCAGATGGGTCATAAGGCTATTGTGTTAATCTATTGCATCTGGGTTTTTCAGACATGGATCTCCAGATTATCCTTTATCTTCGTTACATTCCTTTGTTTGTTGGTTGCTTACTTCTGAGTTGTCTGTTTGGTGAATGTTTCGTCCTACTCAGTCTAACTCGGTTGCGACTTGTCCGTTTCAAACGAAACAACTTTGAGTGTGGCCAAGTTGTAACCGAGTCAAGGCTGATTCATTTGAGACTCGTAATTTTTGTGGAATTGGTATTGGTATTGGATCAGAGAGGGTTGAGTCGTATCGGATTCGACTAATACTTTCGTTCCTATGGAGGTTCTATATCTTCCTTTTTGGTTATATTCTTTTCATTTTGCTGTGTTTCTTTTTTCTCTTTGGTTTTATTCTTTCATAATCTTGCGTAGCAATTTAATATCCATGCTTTTGTTTTGTGCAAGTGGTTTTTAAGGAAAAAAAGTGATCAGTAAAGGGCTATCAGAAGATCGATGCTTAATGACCTTAAAAAGATATGAAGGGATCGGAATAAGTCTGTTTCACAAATTCAATCACCCTTTAAAATGTCACCTAATAACCTTGAGGTTGTAGGTTCAAGCTTGAGGGTAGCCAGTTTGTGCAACTAATAGACTCCATTAATGGGGTCTAAAATATGTTCTATTTTTGTATATACTAATTCAGTACACTCAAGGCAATTAGTAGTCCAATCAAAAAACACATTATAAAATAATAGGCAAACAAGTTAAATATAAGAACAAACATTGCTTCTTAATCACCTATGATCTATATATTATGGGTATCTAGTGAGTTTGATTCAATCTATCAAGCCACCACAAAACTGATAGGCTCGAATATTACGTGAATATCAGAAAAGAGAGAAATCCCGGAGCCTAGTACAGTCTAAAATCCACTAGACTCGACTTACAAGACTCAGAAGACATAACACAAATAACCAAAATCCATAGAATTTGATGATTTACTCGTCTTGAACTGCTCTTGAGTCTATAAGTGTTCTTTGATGTTGCTAATGAATGTTCCACATTGAAATCCAGTGCTCTAACCACGAACTGAAATCCACAGTTGCTTCACAATCGAAATCCATAGCTGCTAACCTTCCTAGGATTCACCAAAGGATCAACACTAATGGAATCCCCCAATTTGACTTTTAGAGACATCTTTTTTGAAGTATATGATTGGTTAGAGTATCTAACTATGAGAACTCAAAAACTAGGCGTAAAGTCTTCAACATGATACCTATACTTGGTAACTAGTCAATTTCTAAACACAATGCCGGAGGGTATGCTATTCTTTTTTGCTCTCTAGTATGTGTAATCTTCCTTTATGTTTATTCCCTAGAGTGTATATGTCCTCTATAGATAGTCGAGGGACACTTGGGCCGAGTTAGTAAAGGTTATACTGAAGTAAGGGAACTTTGGATCCAAAATCTGCTAGAGCAAGGAGCATGGTTCAAGGTTGCGGTATCGGCCATCAACTCAGAGAGTTTTGAGACACATCGGTCGCGGCATAATGGTGCGGTATTGAGCGATACGACCTAAAAGAAAATGTTGAATATGACGAGAAATTCAGATTATATCACGGCGTCGTGGAACCGTATCGGTTAATTTGGTGACGATATTTCGGCGATTCGTGATTGACTCCGATACAACACGGCCGAGTTGTGTGAGACTCGAGGTTTATTCGTCTCGTGTAACTATATCATCTCTGAAAATACCAAAACGGATACGACTCAATTGACTTGTATTAGCTGTGAAGCACGGACACTCTCGAGGTGACATATCTGTATCGGACATGTATTGGACACCGACACTCTTCGGATACTCTTGAACATGTGTCCGATACTCTTTTATTCGTGTCTATAATTAAATAATAAAATTTTAATTTTGGACACGTGTCCGACACTTCTTTGGTGACGTGTCCGACATTTCTTTAAAATGTATCTACTACTAAATAATAAACGTGTTGAAATATGATAAACAAAATTTAAAAATTTGAGAACATATAATTAGTACACTAGTCATGTTAAAATTATACCCCAAATATAATAATAAGAACAAAAGATGCATAAAAGTTTTAAAAAAGAGGAATTGAGAAAAATAGAGCAATTATTTAAATTATATATTAAGTACACATTGTCTACAAAAAAAATTGATGATTATTGACTATTTTGAGGATGGTTTAGTGTAAAATTCACACAGATAACTAGATATAAGATTTAATTATCATAAAGTACTGAATCTTTTTATGAATTGTATATCATGATTACTATATTTGCAATAAATTATATAATGTTATATATACAATTTAATTTTTTGTAGCGTGTTCCCAGTATCTCTGTGTCCTACTTTTTTGAGAAAAGTCGTGTTGGCGTGTCTGTGTCGTGTCGTATCCGTGTTTTGTATCTGTGTCCATGCTTTTTAGCGTATTGGTATCGGCCGATACTTTGAACATGGTAAGGAGGGAGCGTAGATCAAGCACCAACTACTAGAATTCTCATTTCTGAAATATATAACACTACACTCGAGCACCAAGCGATTGTTAGCTTATGGATTTGCCCAACATCATCCTAAATTACCTTGCTTATGTGT